TAACAAGAGCGTAAAAGAATAAACTTATTTTTGATTATAAACATTTGTAATTTAATAACATCATAAAACATTCAAAGATTAAAATTTGAGATAATGCCACCATATGTTTTTATTTGTTTTTGAACATTTGATGAAGATTAAATTCTTTTTCAATGATTTATTTTTCCAGTACACATACTCTACTCCCATGAGTGGTTCATTAAGATAAAATTGTCATTTTCTGCAACTGTTCTTATTCATTTAAATTTAGCTTATCATATTGGAAACATTGGTCTTATTTTGATTTTGAAAATCAAATAAGCCTGTTTTCCCCCACCCAAGAGTAATGCCCCCACCTCATAGTCTTAGATTTACTTTTTCAAATAAAGAATAAAAACACAAAATAAAAATCCCTGCTTAGAAAATACCTAGATAGATATTAGTAAAATTCTAGTTTTTCAATATTATATGTTTATGTCAGCTTCTTTTTAAAGTTGTTAATTACCTAAAGCTTGTTATTTAATAAACAGCATTTTATAATTTTTAAAGATTTTATTAATATAATAATAATAATAATAATTGCCTGGTTAATTATATTTGTGTATGTGATCAATTTGGTTGCTTGGTATTGATAATCAATGTTTTTTAACTTAAGATATGTTTTACATGTAAGCCTACCAACTTGGGTAGAAAATATTTAATTTGTAAATTTCAAACATTTTCTCTTACTGTATTAACTGATGTAGGTTTTTTGGGTTTTTTTTTTTATTGTAAAGTTTACTTGTATTTGGTCTTGCATGTTATCAGCTATAAATTTGTGATCAACATCATTTCTAAATTGGCTCCTTATTTTCTTGTTTCAGATATCATTTTTTTTTTTTATTAGGTTTTCTTTCCATTTTTACATTCCACATCTGACAATGTGGACATTTTTCTTCTTCTCTAGTTAAGAATCACCAATCTTAATTTTGAATGAAACTACATATTCAATAAATTGCTTATCTATTCATATTTTTCTATAACTATTTTAAAATAAAACAATTTGGAAATGTTTTCTGGAGACAATATTGAAGCTTATTTAAATGAATGAAATCTACTTTGTGAAGTTATTTATTAAATATTTGATATTGACCCCCCACACACCACCCTCTTTTTCTATCGAATATATTGAATCTGGATGGTTGATTTTATTTTGAAAGGCAAATTTACGTTCAATTTTTTTTTTTTTTTTTTTATTCATTTCAGTTGTTTCTGTAGAAGTAAAGTGGCTTTTTTTCCATTAGAATATTGTATAGATTTTACTAATGAAAATATCTTTTACATTTATAATCTTTTGACTATTTTGTTTGTAAAGGTTGTCTATTTATTCTGTAAATTTTTCAAAAACAAAAGTGACTTTGCTCCTTTTTGGCTCTTGAGAAAGAAAAGGAAAACTTAATCCTTTGCTTGACAATGCTCTTGATTGTTGTCTAATTATGTGTTGTGCCCAGTAAAAGAAGAATTGATATAAAGGAATAGAATTAACATTTTGTGTGTGATTTTGTATTCATAATTAATGCCACTGTTAATAGTACAGGGTGGTTAAAAGTCTTCTCACCTCCTTCCTCTTCCAAACTATAGGAGCTTGTTTCAATCACCTGAAATAGAAAATTATATGTAGGGGTGACAAGACTTTCAGACCACCCTGTACTTTAATTCTTACCTGACCCTCTTCTGATAAAAGTACATTTGATGGAAGCTAATTTATATCTTCATTCATTTTCTGTACAGATTTTTGTTATTGCTAAAAAGCAGTTTTTTCCGTTTAATGTTTTCAAATGATAAAAAACACTAGACAGTATATCTTGTGATCCTTTTGTTATCAAGAGTAGTCTTTGCAATTTGTAATTGTTGTATTGATGTTAGTTTCGTGATGAATTGTCTTAAATTCATCGTGATTTAAACTGTTTATAAGTTTTGTGTAATATGTCTGACACTTTGGTGACTATTGTCTTTTTAGTTTCATCAGGTGTCATCTAATATGTCATTTCTCTGCATTGGTTTATTTGCCTTCATAATGAATGTTGAATTTAGATTTCTGATGGATAATATTTTTTTTTTTTTTTTTAGTTTTACCTTCTGGGAATTGAAAGAATATATCATCTGAATGAAGCATTAATACATGGCAGACATTCTATACTATAATTGATTTTATTAAATAAATCGGAAAAACTCCTAAATTTCTTTCTCACTATAAACCAAGAAATTTTTTACCATGCCAATGCCTGATGATATTTGAAAAAACAAACTTACTAGAAATATAATGCAAGCAAAAATGTAGTTATCTACAATTTTAAGCCTTGACTCTGCCAAACATTTTCCAAATTCAGCAGTTTTGTTACATGCAAATTGTTTTATATAAGAGACAAAATACAAAAAGTTTGAATCATTTCAAAATCTTTGCAAAATCCTTCAAATTTAAAAATCTTTTTGAAGCTTTCTCATAGATAACTTTATCTTCTTGATAAAAATCCATAACTTTGCATTTTGATATGTAAAGAAATTAATAAGCTGGAAGCAATATATTTGTTTTTATATTGGTCAACCGAATTGCGTATGAAAAGCAGATGTTGTCAGATTCATGTTGATTGATGTTATTTACAGGTGGAAGTTGTTTGCACTCTAATCCCTGGTAGAAAAAGACTCACACCTGAAAGCAATTCCAGTGCTTTTAGTCAATGTCAATAGAACTGCAAATTGTTGGCCTTGTTCACCTTTAATAATTTTGCTTTTTGCACTCTAGGTTCACCTGCTGATGTAAGACAAATTTAATTCTCTTTGCTTCTCTTTATTTTTGCCTCTCTTTTTAATCTACCCTCCCTTGTCCAATCCATATTCTACATCATCTACCAAATTTCTTTCAAAACTGCTGTTTAAGACAAGTTTCAGATGAGTTTATGCTAATACTTTTCCAAAGTTATTCTTTATCATAGAAGTTAGCATTAATCAGGCTGGAAACATTTTTAGACAAAGAAACGGCAAAAGAATAATGAAAATTAAGGCCAAAAACGTATCGGCTGATAATCTAAACCCGAGGCTCTTGTAGTGACTGTTCATAATATCTCTGGCATTTTTAGATAGAAAGAACTTAATACAGATCAAGTTTTCTTGATATTTACTATATATTAGAGGCAGCGTGTTTGATTATTAAATAGTCCATTGGAAAATACAGAAAATAAACATAATTTGTAAATATAAGAAATAATAATAAAAGGAACTTTTTTATTTAATCTACCATTTCAATTATATATATATATATATATATATATATATATAAATATAATATAATATAATTCATGAGACTACATTTTTTAAATTTAAATTCAAACTCAACATTACTGAGGAAATGTTTGCACACTTTGTATGTTGAATAGATTAAAAAACAAAGGATTTAAATGAAAGTAAATTATGCTTATTTGTTGAGGTATGTATGCTTTATTTGATTGACTTGGGGGTCTCCTTTTCATGCTTCTTTCCCTTGCATCACAACACATGCTGTTCTATGAGATAATGATATATATTTTTTATATATCAAGAACAATATTGGAGAAAACGTATGACAAATTGGAAATAGTTTTCTTGTGATGCGTTTCGTCCTTTAGGACTTCATCAGAGCAAATTTGTTGTTATGTTGGTGTGACTACACATGCGCATGAATGAGGAATGCTGGGAATTAAAATTTTTTTTTTTTAATCTAGCTGACTTCATTTATATTCTTTTTCTTTCCATCACTTTTGTTAGTAGATATCCCACACCATGATAATAGAAGTTCTGCCAGGAATGGTGAAATGTTGTAAGAGCCAGGCACAGTGTGGGATATCTAATAACATAAGTGATGAAAAGAAAAAAAATATAAATGAAATCATGTAGGTTTTAAAAAAAAAAAAAAAAAAAAAATTCTCAGCATCACACCAAAATAACAAATTTAGTCCAATGAAGTCCTAAAGAATGAAACTCGTGACAAGGAAACTTTTTCCACTTTGTCATATATTTTCCCCAACACTGTTCTATATGAACAAATTAATAAGAGTATAGAACTAAATAACAAAAAATAGATAGTTATTTATTGAAATTTCATTGAACGAAGATATTTATTGAGATATTTTATAACCATTTTCCTTTAACATTCTATGTTGTTAGAATGCAAACTGGTATTTCTACCAGATAGCCTATGAAAAACTTTGTAGCTCATAGACATAATGTTGTTGATGATTTTGAAAAAGGAAAATAGTTTTCTAATTAAAACCTATTTCTTCATTAGCAATTTTAATGCAGCTGTTAATTTTCTCAGTAGATCAGATATATTAAGATTTAATATTTAATATGAAATTTAAATAAATAAAAATTGATGCAAATATTATTTTAAATATAATGTTTGGTTTTAAGATGAAATTAAAACAAATCTTTTTTCCATGCTTCCTTGAAATCTGAAATCCTTCCTTTATTTCATTCCAAGCATTGAATTCTTTAATCTTATTCTTCGTTCATAAATCAAACCATTTAACCCTGCCACTTGTATTACATGTAAAATTGCTGCTTTATTTATTGTCACACTTTTCAAAAAGATTTTGCAAGATATTAGTTTTGTATTATTTGACTAAAAATTTCAAAAGATTTTTTTTAAAATATCACCTTTCTTCTTACCATCATAAGTACCATTTTCATTCTCAAGAAATTGGCATTCATTTACACTGCAAAAAAAAAAGAAAGCTACCCTTTCAAATCATTTTGTTTTATCTATTTATTTTATTCTATATTTACTTTTCTTATCCCTGGTTTGTTTGTTTTTTTTTGTTTTTTTTTTTTCTGCTGGTCAGGGAGCTTTTCTCTAAAGAAAAGCAATAAAAGAAGATTGAGACAAAGACTTACCCATCCCCAAATCATATCAGCAACAACAACAATAATAAAAGCAACAACCACAAAAAGCCACATGACAGTTCAACTATTTTAACCTCCTTAACTTACCTACTTTCTTTTCTTAGTGACTGGTCTTCTGCGAACTAGTGTACTGACCGGGTCAGCTAGTGCTCCTGACCTAGTGACTGCCTACCGAGTGCAAAACGAAGAGGGTAGGTGTAAATTTGTATGAGTGCCTGTTCATGCATTCAGCTAGTAAGTACCACCACAGTGTGTGGTCAGCTGGTTGGGCTGGACAGTACCTCTGCACTTGCTGCTGCTGCTGCTAACATTGATGTTGTGGAGTTTTTCCTGTTCATCGTCCATCCACATGCTTGTCATTTCAAATGCTACCCTATGTTTCTGTGTTGACTAATTTATTTAATAATTATTTCCTCTTCTCCTTTTTCCATCAATTATTTCTTTTTCTCCTTTTTCCATCAATTATTTCTTTGTCTATTGCCTTTCACACTCATTCTTTCATCTATTTCATTTCAACATAAAAATGGCAACTAATTTTAATGTACCCCTTTTTCAATACTGCAATTGACTATCATAGGATCCAAGCAGTTGTATCAATCACAAATTGTTTTTATAAGGTTGTCAGGAAGGTTATATCTATATATATATATATATATATATATATATATATATATATATATATATATATTTTCTCTATCTTCTATTTGATTAGATATTTAGGGGATGATATTTATATAAGACTGAAGGTAAAGCAGAATGGTTAAAAAAATCCCAAACATATCCCTAATAGAATGATATTGTTAAGATTTTTTTTGTTGTAGTGTTTCTTTTTCCATTTGACATTTTAAATAATTTATTCCTAATATTTCTCTCCTTTATCTTTCTCACTCACATACTTGCGTACACCCACTCTTTTTCACAAGACAGTTCTTGAAAATAATTAGTTTGAATGATCACAATACAATAGCATTTTGTTTGTTTTATTTCCTCTTGAATTAAGTAAGCTTAAAATCTTTATTTCAATATTAATTCTCTAACTGCTATTCATGCAATTAAAATATACCTTAAAAGGTACTTTGCAAAAAGCTTGCCTTTGGTGCCAGTAAACAGTATTTGAATTTAGATAAGTTGCAAGTTGCTAGTGATTAATTTCCTTTGTTTGTTATATGTTTAATGTTTGAAGGCATTAAAAGCATTTAGTTTTAAGTAACTTTATTTAAAACAAGTTTAAAAGCCACACTGCATGTGAACTTTTTAGCTTGCTCCTGCTGAGGACTAATTGGGCCTCTGACTCAAAACTAAAGAGATCTCTGATCCAGCTTAGAAAACAGCAATGATAATTTTGAAGAAATAATTTTGAATTCCTCAATTTACTCCATGAACTTCAAAACCTCACTTTAACTCTGATTTAGGCTATAAGCTTAATTCCAGCCAAAAGAGTGGTTTGGGCCGAAATTTCAATTCAGGCTAAAAATTGAGTTCTTCAAATCACAAACTCTGCATGACTTCAAAACCTCACGCCAATTCTGATTCCTTGATATTTTGAAGAAATAAAGTTGATTTTCTCAATTCACAAACCTTTGGCGATATTTTAAACTGAATTTAAAACAAATATTTTTAAATTTACAAAGCTTTTGCCTTTAAACTCAATATAAATTAAAAACTTTTAAAATCAGTAATTTTTTTCATTTGTTTTAAAATTTGAATTTTTAACTGTCCCCTCCTCATCTGGACACAAATCAGATGAAGGGCAAATTTTTAATCCTGGGATCACCTTGATTCCAAAAAGGTATAGTATGTCTATGTAAAGCAAGTTGCCTGAGTTAGAGGAATTTCAGACACAGACAGACAGAATTTGCCGTTTATTTAGATAGATAGATCACATTTTTATTGTGACAGCTGTATTATTGTCATGCATTTTCTAAAGCAAATTTTCAGATTTTTGTCTCTTGCATCTGGCATGGAAGGAAATCAGAAACATTTTCAACGTATTTTACTTTTATTTTAAGGAAGTAAGAAATAGGATTAAAAAAAAAGATTTATGAAGTTTATGAATGATCAAATTCATTAAAATTGGTTTGCAAAGATTTTGCACTGGTGATTTCTTATTGAACAATGCTTCACAGTCAGGTAGATCAGCTGAGATTTATAGCAACCAAGCCAAGACTTGAAACATTTGAATCTCTTCTTGGTTGGACTAAGAATTTTTCAGTACCTTGTATATGATGCATGTGATAGCTAACATATTCTATATCAAAATCAAATGTTGAAAATCATTTACGTCAGATTGATGTGTAATTTACACATCTGTTCTATGTTTCATTAAGCAAATTTTGACCAGCAATAAAAAGTGTATATTTTAGAAGACAGTATTTGGGCCAAGTAAAATGAAAACCCACTAACCTTACAAAGGGCCTGTCTTCACTCCAAGGAAAGTGATGCTCTGTCTGTATACAGTCAGTTTGGGTATTTTTGATGATGACCTTCTGAAGAACCACATGAATGATTCAAACAATTAGTGCATAAACAAATTGAATGCAATCAACAAAAAAAACATTCAGAATTAAGTTAAAAGGGAACAATATTACAACCAGGAGAGCAATGCTTGATTGCATATTTCTTTGGTGATCGTGCCAAAATTATTGCTGGTTGGGTGACAAGTTTTCACTTCTCACCTATATTTACCTTTGGGATTAGTATTTATTCTGATCATTATGTAAGTTTCATTTTAAAAAAAGAATCAGTTTCTGTTGATATTTAGTAAACCAAATTAACTTTTCAGTCATCCAATATCTGTTCTCATCAGTTATTTTAAATTGTGATTTTGAAAATTTGAAGCATTCCAATTCAAAAAGAAGAGTAATGTGACTCTAAAGTAATTGTAAGCTAGTTTATTTTAAATTGTTTCTCAGAATTACATATTTTAATTTTATAGATACAAAAGTTGCATTAAAAAAAAAAACAGTAGGATGTGTTTTAAGTTCTGTGATTTGAGCTTTGAAGATTGTGAAACTACAATTTTAAACTTTTAGTAGTTAACCAAATGGTCAACTACTAAAAGCCAAAGATACCAAATTTATTGGATAGAAACAAATGACTGGATAAATGAATATAAGTAAAAATGTTTAATCAATTATAAAAAAAAATTAGTACCTAGATTCAATGTGAGATTTGGGCCATACAAAATATAGACTATACAAAGTTATTGGTTGGGACGCCCCATACAAAATGTAAAGTAGACTACTTCATCTATAATGTCACCCAGTACACAAAATTGACTAGGTCATCCATCAGGACACCCCTCACAAAATATTTAAGGATATTAGAGGTTCTTTTTATTGTTTTTGATAAATTTAAAATTCAATAAGCAGTCATTTTTTATTAAAAAAATATTTTTCTTTCCTTTTTTTTTTTTTTTTTTTTTTTTTTTTTTGGTATATTCATTAATTGTTTATTTTTTCTAGTCTTACAATTGTTTGAGAAATAGTTTTGATGTAATTCAAGTAAACTTTTATCTTCTAGCTAAGGAATATGAAATTTTGTTGGTTCTCATCAGGGTCAACAGGTTTCACAAACAGACATGAACTTTTTAAGAGAATTTTTTTTCTCCTTGATTCCAAGCACCCCCCCACACACACACACACACAAACCTAAAAATTTTGGTAATTTTAAATAACATTTGTTTTTTTAAATGAAGCTTACTGGTACAAATTTGAAATGTGGAGCTTTATATTCTGATTTTTCTTTTTTTTTTTTTTTTTTTTTTTTTTTTCTTAATGTACAAATAAAGGATTTTGATGTTTTTAAAAAGATGCCATGAATATAATGTTTGTATTTAGGTGATTGCTGTTTTTCTTTTAAATATGAAAGATTTTTGTTCTGTTGACTTGTGGTGGTAGTAGTAGTAATAGTAGTAGTCATTGAATGTTTTATTTTTCATATAGTCACAAATCTACAAGTATTTAATGTTTTTTTTAGGATCTCAAAGAATAGTAAATTTCACTTTATTAGAAACTAATCTTTTGCTGTAGTCATCAAATGCCTGTTTTGCTATGTGCGATTGATCTTTTAAGATAGAACATTGATGATTTTTTAAAAATAGCATTTAACATTAGGTTTGATTTGTTCCTTAATTGCTGTTAAATATATATTTGTTTAATTACAGTGAATGAATATTCTGATTGAATGAATCTTTCCCTCTCAGGTTGTAGCTGGACTCCCTTAAATAAGAATAGGTTCTATTTAGCAATGTGAATAATAAGAATTAATGTTACTTTAGTGAATTATTTTTATTGTTGGTAACATGATCGATTTGTAATATTTATGAGGACTAGCTTAAACTATGAGTAACAGTGATTTTGTTTATTAGTAACATTCAATAAAAAATGATTACATTGCCTTCATCCAGCAGAAATTTACAAAATAAAATTTTGATATAAAAAATGAAACTGGATAAGACAACCGTGTATTTCTTTTCTCTTTTAAGTTAAACAAAAAAATAAACTAAAAAAAATGACAAAGATAATGCTCTTCATCATTCTACAAATTTTTTTCAATTGTTAATTTCTATACTTAATTCTCTTAAATGAATGATAGATTAAGATTCTTTTTATTATTTGAATGGAACAATTTAGTTTGTAGGGATTAAAAAATTGATTTTTTTTTCTTTTATGTCAAAATGTTTATTGCAAAATGTGTGTGTGTGTGAATATATTATAACCAACATAATCAGATAAAGGACAGATAGGAAACCATTATCAATCTAACATGTTTCACTTTTATTAAAGCCTCATAAGAGAATGAGATATGGAAAAAAAGAAAAATACCAGAATCTCTTTCTTTTGCTCCATATTCCATTCTCTAATGAAGCTTTAATAAAAGTGAAACATGTTAGATTGATAAACATTTCCTATTTGTTCTATATTATATATGTGTGCGTATTTAGGCAGCATATTTTCATTCAAACAGATTTGGTTAAATAATTTAGTACATATCATGTTGATTTATTTTGGTTGTGATCCTTTCAAGTTCATAGATTAATTTCTTGGTAGCTTTAGAAAATTGATTAAGAAAAATACCAAAATTTTCTTTCAAATAGTTTTTATTTTCCCAAGTACTTTCAATCTCATCTGAGATCATCTTCAGCTGGGTAAACTGTCTGTGAATGTGTATATGTATTTCTGTAAATTCA